GCGTTCAACAGCCACCGTAACAGCAGGTCAGGCAGCGTCTGAAATTAGTGATAACGCTGTTTTTCCTTTCCTTTTTTTTCCCCCAAATTATGTGTGTTTTTGCTTTGCTTTCCTGTTGCTTATAAAAAATGTGGTTGCTATTGTTATGATTTTGATGTGCTTCACTGGTGAAAGCAGAAGATATTGATGTTTTTTTATGCCTTTTCAAATTGCATTCTTATCTAACTGCTCATGTGGTTGACTGTAGAACAAAAACACACACACCTTAAGTCTAGTTTGATTATTTGTTGTTTGATTTATTGTTGTTGTTTGATTTGTTGAATGTTCAGTCTTCACTGATCTTTAATAAAGACTTAACTAGTTATAGTTTAAGAATATAAATTTATAATAAACTAATTAATATGAGTTAATTATCATGTAAATAATAAAAGTCGTTACAAGTATAGATTTATAGAATAGATACTATCTTATAAAGAATTACAAGTGTTTATGAAAAATATAATTAATATGAAGTTTGAGAAAAAAGAAAAAAGAAAACACATGTATACAGGGTAATAATAAAATCAAATTAAAGTGAAAGTAATGAAGAAGACTGCGGAGTGGTTTATTCAAATGGTAGTCTACAGTCTAACAGATGAGCAGGGAAACTTTTCACATATTTGTTAAGGTCAAACACGGGGAGATGTCTCTCCATTTTATGATTTACAAAAATTGTATAAGGCAGGGAAACTTTCATTTGGTAAACTGAGACATCATATTTTATGAAAATCACAAGGATGAAAAGTAAATAATTTGCATCTTTAATTCTTTATAACTGGTAGCTAGTCTGTGACAATTCTTGATATGAAATTATGAATATCTCACACCGGATTACAAATGGAAGAGATGGATTTATTCACTTTATGCACTTGAATCTATATAGAGTCATCCGGGCATTCTTTGCCTCGCATGTGCCTGAGATTTGCCCGACTACTAACTTAGAGCCAGTCTTGACTCGTAACCTCTCGACCCCTAAGGCCCTGGCGATTCGGAGGCCGTTTAACACAGCTTCGTACTCGGCCTCGTTGTTGGAGGCTTGGAACAGATAGCTCAGGGCATAATACAGTCGGAATCCTTCGGGGGTGATGAGCACAACACCTCCTCCGCAGTGCTGTCGACTTGATGCTCCGTCCGCATGCATTTCCCACCATTCGCCTAGGCAGCTCTCCACGGCGCGTTCCTTTTCTTCCTCACTCGCGGTGCATTCGACCAAAAAATCGGCCAAGGCCTGACCCTTTATAGAAGGCCGGGGCTGGTATTCAATCCCGTATTGGGTTAGTTCTACGGCCCATTTTACCAGGCGGCCGGATGACGATGGGTTTCGCAAAACTCTTCCGAGAGGCTGGTCTGTCAGTACTCGAACGGTGTGCGCTTGGAAGTAGGGCGCCAACTTGCGCACGGTAATCACCAACGCGTATACAATTTTTTCCAAGGCGGTATACCTTGACTCGGCAGCCTTCAGAGACCGGCTTACGTAGTAAACCGGGTGCTGGACTCGCTCTTCCTCTCGGACCAACACCGAACTCACCGCCTTGCAAGAGGCGGCTAAGTACAGAAACACGGGCTCGCCCGCCTGGGGGTAGACAATACCGGGGGTGTCGAGAGGTATTGTTTCAATTCTTCAAACGACTGCTGGCACTCCGGGGTCCAAGCGAATCCTTCCTTCTTCTTCATGGCTTCGAAGAAGGGCACGGTCTTATCTGCCGCCTTGCTTAGGAAGCGGCTAAGGGCGGCCAATCGGCCGGTCAGCCGTTGCAGGTCTTTTATAGTGCTGGGAGGCTGCATGTCGACGATGGCCTGTACTTTCTCAGGGTTAGGCTCGATACCTCGCTTGGTGACCATGTAACCCAGGAACTTTCCACCTTGCACGGCGAACGCGCATTTCTTAGGGTTCAGCCGGAGGTTGTACCTTAACATTACTTTGAAGCAGTCGGCCAAGTCTTCTGCGTGTTTGCTCTCCTCTCGGCTCTTGACGAGCATGTCGTCGACGTACGCGGCCATCGATTTTCCCAACAGGTGCTGAAACAATCGGGCCACCATTCGGGTATACGTGGCTCCGGCGTTCTTGAGGCCAAATGGCATGACTCGGTAACAATAAACTCCGTCCGGTGTCAGAAACGCGGTCTTTTCTTCGTCCGCCGAGTGCATGAATATCTTATGGTACCCCCTAAAGGCGTCCATAAAGCTCAACAGCGCCGACCCCGCCGTCTCGTCGACCAGTTGATCGATCCGAGGTAAGGGGAACGGATCTTTTGGGCAGGCCTTATTAAGGTCGGTGTAATCCACGCACATCCGCCACGCCGGGGGCTTGGGTACAAGGACCACATTCGCCAACCACTCCGGGTACTTAACTTCGCGGACGTGTCCGGCTGCGAGTAGCGTGCTCACTTCCTTCTTCACAAATTCTCTTTGGTCGTTGGCCAGGTATCGCTTCTTCTGCACAACCGGTCGATGCCCGGGATCCACAGCGAGTCTGTGCGATATTATCGATCGGTCGACGCCTGGCATGTCCTCCGGGCACCAGGCGAAGACCATCCGGTGTTCCCGGAGCACCTTTATAATTTCTTCCTTTACTTCCTCGGGGAGGCCGACTCCAATTCGGACTCGTCGGTCCGGCTGCGTGGAGTCGATCTCGACTTCTTCCAACTCGACGGCAGGCTCCGGACGTGGTATTATCGTCCTTTTTGGGGGCCTCTCGGTGATCTCATGGACCTGTATCTCGCGTTTGCCCATCCCCTTACATGCCTGTAGGTAGCAGTCGCGGGCGACCTTACGGTCACAGCGCACCGTGCCTATTCCGTTTGGCGTGAGGAATTTTAAACAAAGATGCTCAATTGAAATCAACGCTCCTAGATCCTCGAGACCCGGTCGGCCGAGTATAGCGTTATGCGAACAGGCCAGATTCACCACAATGAACTTCATGCTGAGTCTCTGTACGTCTGGGTAACTGCCGATCTCAACTGGAAGTGTGATCGATCCTTCCGCCTCCACCGAGTCCCCTGTGAAACCGGCGAGGGGAGTTTTGACAGGACTCAGCTGTTCCCGAGTCATTCCCATTTTGATGAAGGTTTCTAGGTACAGCACATTGACGCTGCTTCCGGTGTCTACCAGGATTCGTCGAACGACAACGCCATTGATGTCCATAGCTATAACCAACGCATCTCGATGCGGTGTTTCACCGGCTGGTAAATCTCGGTCGGTAAACACAATGGGCTCTCGACACACCTTTTTAGGGTTCTCCTCGCGCCAGTACACCGTTCCGACGTATAACTGGCGGGCCCAGGCTTTTCTGGTGTTCGTTGAGTCACCACCTTCCGGCCCGCCGACTATCATGTTGATAACCGGCTTCTGACGCCACTGAGCCTCCTCCTCTTCGGGAGGTCCAACTCAACCTTTGGCTGGTGGGTGCACCTTTCAGTAAAATGTATGCCTATCTCGGAGATAATGCGAGTACTCGGAACCTTTTTGGTATTCTCCCCCTCTGGGTGTTCAATCGTCTGTCCTTTTACAAGAATGGAGGAGCCTTTATATAGTGGCTCCTCCTCTACCGACTTGAAGGCCTTTAATGGCCGACTTCAAGGCTAATTAAGATACGGAGTCGTTGGACGCCATTACTCGGTCGACCAACGGCTCTCCCAGGCTTGTAACGGCCTGACCGAGTCCTGCTTTCAATGTCTTAACGGCTCCCTTTTAAACGAACCTCTTCAATGCTCTCAACGGCTCCTTGAGCCGAGTCCTTTCCTGGGCTTGGGCCTCGGTCGACTCCTTGTCTCGGCCTAAGCTCCTACTGGACTCCTCTTAGCAGCTCTGAACTGGGCCCCGTGCTTGGGCCTGGGCCGACTCCCGGACTCGGCCCAATTGCTCTTCGGGCTCCTCTCGACTCTGGCCCAGTTCTCCTATCTATTTTCTTTGGGCCCCTATCTCTTGGGCCGGGGTCCTCACCCCATCAATGATAATTCAAAAGTATCACCGCTTTAAGAAATTGCAAAACATAATTTTAACTAATTTTGTAAATTTGGTTACTTACAAATATTTTAATATTAGACATAAGTTTCGCGCGATGCGCGTACAAAATGCTAGTATGTATTATAATTATACAAAAGGGCCAAAACCAGTAATCACGTATTGCCCTATTGGCCCTATTCGCCTAAACCAAACCAGTAAACCCTCTGTCTCTCAATCGCTCAAAGACTCGGAACCTTAAATGCAGGCGCAACCGCAGCCCTCTCTGCCTCCCTCTGTCTCTCAATCGCAATCGCGGGCTCGCAGCCCTCTCTCGAAGACTCGAACTGATGGCTCGTCCTTAATCGCGAACCGTAAATCGCAGGTCGCCGCTCACCGCCTCACGCCGGAGTCGAGTCGCCGGTCGCCGGAGTCGCCGGAGTCGCCGTTCGCCGGAGTCCATAAATCCAGGTCTCCAGAATTTCAATAATCAAATATTCAAGGTAATTTCTAATTTTATATAATTCTATTTGTTCACTTTAAATTTTGTATTTAAAAAAATCATATGAATTACTGCTTTTAAGGGTGTGAAACCTTTCCTTCGTCTTTCAAACAAATAAACGATTTCATCGCCTTCCCTTCCCCATCGTTCGTAACTGTAACAAAAAAGATAACTCAACACCAAGTTGGTATCCACTTCTTACGAAGTGCCTTCGTAAGAAGTGCTCAAGTTCGACTCTCGAGGCATATTTATATGTCGAAGATTCCAGTCCTGTCGAAGGCTAAGTCCCTGATATAGCTCAGTTGACTAGTTTCAGTCTAGTGCCAATTCAAAGGAGAAGGCCCACAAACCTAAGATCCCAAACTGAAGGTGGAACAGGTCCCAAAGCGAACAACAAAGTTGGATGGAAAGACAGATAGCAAAAGCATAAGACGAAGCAATAAGTATAGTTGGCTTAAGTCGACCAAAAGTCGTTGCTTGCCTATTTCAGTAGGAAATTTGAACAGCTTCGCCTTCTTTGAACCTGAGAAAGCAGCTTTGCTTTTGAATCTTAGACTTCAACCACTGGCACTGGCTCACCGCCTACGGCCACTTTACAGTAGCTTCCTAGGGACTCTCTTTCTTCCATAGAGAAGGAACTTATCCTTAGACTTTTGGAGCTTTGGCTTTGGTTTGGACCTGTACTAGTCCGAGAAGTGAGAGCACCAGGTTGGAAGATGCTGGTTCGAGAGGACCCGGAAGAATGCTAGTAAGAAGGAGGCTAGTTTGCTAGGTTGTAGATCTTCTCCCTTATTCTAGTAGAGAGGAATCCCCTCAATAAAAATAATATCTTTCTCTACGCCGTCAAAAGCCTAATTGAGACAAATCAGCTCTTAGAGTTCTCCGGTCTTTGCTCTTGAAGATCCGCTCTTGAGAACCTCTATCTCTTTCTTCAAAGCCTCATTCGAAGCCAGTCAGTCAGTCTTAGAGTATATTACCCGCAAGTTCATCTTCTTTGATAGTATTAATATCCTATCCTGTCTATAATAGTTTATTAGACAGCCTCAGCAATCCAAGTTCCAGCTGGTTCTCAAACTTCAGAGGTAACCTTACTTGGTAGAGCTCAATCCCAAAATCAGCGGCAAGGTGGAAATTTCTATCAACGGAAAAATTAGTCTTGGCTAAGCCTTAGGCTAGTGAGTCCAAAGAGGCAGAGTCCAAGCAAGGCAATCTTAATTGGCATACTTCACTAAATCAGTCTAAGCCGGAAAGCTGGCAAAGTCTAGCTGCGTATTTCCTTAAGTCAAAAAGTCAAGCGGGTCGGCGTATAATTAGGGGTTGGAGGCTGTTTCGGGCTTGTATTCTTACTGAGCGAGAGTTGGACTCAGGGCTCTTTCTCGTCAAAGCAACTTTATTGATGAATATATATATTCAATCCATCCAGCCAATAGGTATACTGCACACCAACCTACTCTCGATGACAAAATGAAAGCATAAGCAAGAAGTTTTAGCAAAGGACTTGGGTAAATCATCATTTCCTTTCTGTGCTAGGAAGACTTTCATTCGCAGTCGTAAGGCCGACATGTCTTCATCCCGAAATAAGTTGATGCGGAATCTCGTCTCTTTGAAAGGTAACTTGAATTAGCAGTCGGACTGTGAACCATTTTCACTCGTTAGACCTCCCAATATAATTGATTTGAAGGACCGACGGAGCGCTAACTAGGAAGTCTTTACCGAGAGGCGTAGCAGAACACTAACCCAATCTCGAATAGAAAGAACGAAAAAAAACTACAAATCAATTGAAATAAACTGTGTTGTATCTGTGATTATGTGTTAGTGTTACTGACTTAGTGTGTTAGTTCATAACTTCATACGAATATGTTAGTTCATAACTCTGTGTTATTAACTCTGGTTAATTCATATAATATGTTAGTTCATTCTAGAATATGTTTAAGTAATTTAGTTTATTGAATTAAGTACACACTAATTCACAATGTTAGTTTATTCACTGTTAGTTTATTTCAGCACACACTAATGTTAGTTTTTTTTTTTTTTTTTTTGAAAGGACACTAATGTTAGTTTATTAAATGTTAGTTTATTAAGTACATACTAATGTTAGTTCATTCACTGTTTCATTATTTCACCTTTTAATTTTAGTATTAAATTCTTTTTTTAATTTTAGATTGGCAGTATGTGGAAGCATGCTTATTTTTATTTTTATTTTTAATAATGAACTATGGCAGATAAGTAGATTGGCAGTAAGCAGTATGGTTGTATGGGCGTATGGCTATGACTTGTGAATTTTGAAGACCATGAAGTTCATATTGTTTGTTTATTTAGTATGTTTTGTGAAGACTATGAAGTTCATGGTAAGTTAGATAACCATTTATTAGTATAAACCATTTATTGTGAAGACTATGAAGCATGAAAATATGAAATTATGAAGTTCACTCTCGGTTTTTCGGTTACCGAAATAACCGACCAAAACCGACATAATCGGTTTCAGTCGGTTATATGTGTATGTTCGGTCAGTTACATAGGTTAAAAAAACACCGTTATTTTTTCGGTTATCGGTCGGTTATTAACCGTAACCGACCGATGCTCACCCCTAGGTAGTGGTCTGTAGTTTCCCGTTCGGGAGAGTCAGAACTGATAAGGGGAGGGGTAGGAAGTGGTCTAGATCGGGTATATGGAATGGGCTCAGTATATTTGGCTTAGTTATATGTAAATAACTTAAATAGGCAAATTATTGTGTGGACCATGGTCCACGTAGTGTTGTATGGACCATAAAAGAAAATATATTTTTAATGTACTAAAAGTACATTATTTGTGTACTGAATGTACATTATATAAAATAATGTACTTTTAGTTTTTAAATAATGTACTTTTCATGAATACAAAGTACATTTTTAATATACTAAAAGTACATTATTTGTGTACTAAATGTACATTATTTTATTGTATACAAAATATGGTCCATACAATAATGATTTGACTTAAATAGAGTTGGGCTGGCAGTTGGCCCTTTTCTTTTTTTCTTTTATTTTTGAGAATTTTTGAGATAACCCTTAGCTAGGCTAATACACTATGATATATATTGTTTGTTTGTGTGTGTGTGTGTGTATATATATATATATATATATATATATATATATATATATATATATATATATATATATATATATATATATATATATATGTACATGACATGTTTATGTATAATTGTAATTGTTATAAATATTAATTAATTTTTTTAGAGAGTTATATTCTAACCATTGTTAATTTGTTTGTTTATTTTGTAATTGGTTGTGTGCATATGTTGGTTATTTGTGTGTCCTCATTTGTCTAAATTTATTTTTATGTCCTTTTCCCTTTCAGAGAATAATAATTTTCAATCATATGAGAAAAATAATCTTATTACTACTGTATAAGTCTTATCCGTGCATCGCACGGGTACAATACTAGTTTAGTAAATATTTCGACGGAATTAACGACAAAATTTATTCCGTCACGATTTATTTTTTAAATTTTATTTCTCCCCACTCTTTAAACAGCGTCTCATTAGGGAATTTATTTTTTAATTTTGTTTTTGTTTATTTTATTTTATTTTATTTTTTAATTAACGAGGGAATTTATTTTATTTCAGCCCTTATTTACTAAAATTAATAAAAGAAGCTGAGACTCCAAATGAGACAGAGACGCTTCCCCATTCAGCCTAATTCAATTCTGCGGATTGAAGCTTCCGCCGACCGCTGACCACGACTGCCAACCACGACCAGCCCTGTCACAGCCGGCAGCCCACTCACCAGCGTTCAACAGCCACCGTAACAGCAGGTCAGGCAGCGTCTGAAATTAGTGATAACGCTGTTTTTCCTTTCCTTTTTTTTCCCCCAAATTATGTGTGTTTTTGCTTTGCTTTCCTGTTGCTTATAAAAAAATGTGGTTGCTATTGTTATGATTTTGATGTGCTTCACTGGTGAAAGCAGAAGATATTGATGTTTTTTTATGCCTTTTCAAATTGCATTCTTATCTAACTGCTCATGTGGTTGACTGTAGAACAAAACACACACACCTTAAGTCTAGTTTGATTATTTGTTGTTTGATTTATTATTGTTGTTTGATTTGTTGAATGTTCAGTCTTCACTGATCTTTAATAAAGACTTAACTAGTTATAGTTTAAGAATATAAATTTATAATAAACTAATTAATATGAGTTAATTATCATGTAAATAATAAAAGTCGTTACAAGTATAGATTTATAGAATAGATACTATCTTATAAAGAATTACAAGTGTTTATGAAAAATATAATTAATATGAAGTTTGAGAAAAAGAAAAAAGAAAACACATGTATACAGGGTAATAATAAAATCAAATTAAAGTGAAAGTAATGAAGAAGACTGCGGAGTGGTTTATTCAAATGGTAGTCTACAGTCTAACAGATGAGCAGGGAAACTTTTCACATATTTGTTAAGGTCAAACACGGGGAGATGTCTCTCCATTTTATGATTTACAAAAATTGTATAAGGCAGGGAAACTTTCATTTGGTAAACTGAGACATCATATTTTATGAAAATCACAAGGATGAAAAGTAAATAATTTGCATCTTTAATTCTTTATAACTGGTAGCTAGTCTGTGACAATTCTTGATATGAAATTATGAATATCTCACACCGGATTACAAATGGAAGAGATGGATTTATTCACTTTATGCACTTGAATCTAAACATAAAGATATAGCAAAGATATCCTCATATCCCGCTTTTGTAAAGCTTTTGCAGGTTCTACTTATTAGTTACAGAGCCTGGAGATACTGAATGCCTTGTTTTGTAATTTATTTCTCACAGGACTGTTTCCGCTGGCTCAGAAATTTACTTCAAATTATGACCGAATTGCGACAGAAATATTTTCGTTGCAAATTTGCGACATTTTTTTCCATCGCCTTATTTTGCGATGGAATTATTCTGTCGTCTATCAATATACAACAAGGTGTTAGACGACGGAATTCCGTCACAAAATGTGATTAACGACAGGATTTTGCCCATTCGCGACGGAATTTTTCTGTCGCGATTCGCGATTTTTCTTGTACTGTTGGCACTATGGGCTTTATGGCTATTTAGTATTGTATGTATGTATGTTAAACATACTATGTTTATTAACATTGGCTATTATAATTTACATTTATTATAATATATTTAATATAAAATATTATTTAAATCTAAATAAGATTAATAGATGAAAAATAAAATAAAAAATGGTGGCATTTGTCTAAATGAGAAGGGTATAATAGAGTTAGATGGATATTGGCATTTTTTTTTCTTATTTAATGATTAGTCCAGCGAAACTAGTATATCACCTAAGTTAAAAAAAAATAAAATCAACTCCCAAATTTTACCACTGTTAGATTTTAGGGTTTAGGGTTTTTATTCAGTATTTCTCTTCCCTCTTTTTCTATCTTTCCTTCAAACTCAACCTACCTGTGAATTCATTACTAATGTTGTCACTCTGCTATTAGGTTTTAGGGTTCTTTTCCCTCAATTCATGGACATTGACCCTGATATTTCTCGGTGGATTCTTGAATTTCTCCTCCGGAATCCTCTGGATGATGGCACCTCGAACGCTCTTATCCGGGTCCTCGCTCCCGCTAACGACAATCTGGGTCTCAAGAAGACAGTCCTTCTAAGAGCAATGGAGTTAGAGGTTTTAAACGGTTCAGTTACTGAGAAAATGCTCGGTCTCCTTGAGAAATTTGAAGAGCTTGAATTTCGAGAAGGAATTCAAGCTTCGGAGGAATTAAAGGCAGCATATTGCGCCGTGGCAGTGGACTGTACCGTGAGATTTTTGAAGAAGAATGGTGGTGAGATTAGCAGAGGGGAGTATTTTAGTGCTGTTAGGAGGATATGGAGGCAGAGGATTTGCAGAATGGAGAAAGCGGATACGTCTGGGCTTGTCTCCAAGGAGTTGGGTAATTGGAGGGATGCAATCGAAGCGGCTGTGTGGGAAGATAGTTTTTGTGACAAAGTGATAAGGAGTGAAAAAGTTGATGTTGTTGAGGCTGTCCAAGTGTTTGTTAAGGAAGCAAAGGATAGAATGGGGTCTTCGTTCCTTGAATATACAGCTGAAATGCTAAAAAATGATAATAATTTAAGGGAGCTTCTTCTATCAGAGAACAGAGAAGATAAGGGTGAAACTGATGGGAAAAATGATAATAATATGAGGGAGCTTCTTCCACCGGAGAATGGAGAAGAGCAGGGTGAAATTGGTGGGAATGATGCAGCTTTGCCTAGTGCTAGCCAGGACACGGCACACCACAATAATGGTAGAGGTAAATTTGGAGTTTTTCTGTCCAGTTATGAACTTGGAGTGGTAAGAATATGCATAGTAGCTATACTGTCATTCTGTGCAATCCTGGGGCTATAATTTTTATCCTATTGATTAAAATCCTAATAATAAATGTATATGAAATTGGAATTCCCTCTAGGTAATAGTAGCAGTAATAATACTAATAATGATGATATATTATTATTATTGTTGTTTACGTGGTCCTATTTGCTATTACTACTATTACTGTAAATTCAGTTGTTTTAATTGTAATTGTAATGTTCATATATATATATTCTCATGAAAATTATTTTATTTCTGGATATGTCATAGTTTCATCCACATTCATGTGATAAAATTATTACATCTTCTTTTGGATTGAAATCAATATTATGCTTACACTATGAAATCATTTTTTCCATGTAGAATTGCGTCACTCTGCACGCAAGCCTACTAAAGCACCGCTGGTTGGGACATCCAGAGGTGCCAAGATTGCTGATAGGGATGATTTGAGAGCTGAGGCACACAAACAGTATGATTTACCAGCTTCTCCTGAGGTCAATAAAGCACAAGAAGCACTTGAAACAAGTTTCATGGAATTGCGAGCCGTGGTTAAGGACCCACTTCCAGATGCTTTGCTTGAAGCTGCAGCAATTATGTGTCAACTGTCTAAGGGAAATATGGGTGATCAACCTATACAAGAAAATGCGTCCAAGCGAAGCTTGATGGAGCGGAACAGTACAGCCCATGTACATGAGGTGAATATTCTTGTACTTTTTTTTTTTTTTTTTGAATTTATTTATTGACTATTCTTGAGAGAAGTCAATTCCAGTTGCATCTAAGATTGGAAGATAATTGGAGTAAAGTAGAATAAATAGAGCATAAAAAAGGTGCATGCATAGAAAGAACTAAATTCATGGATTGATTTTGAGCTTTGAATTGTCTATGCAGTGGAATGATTCAATAGATAGCTTACCTGAAGTATCAGGCAATCGTGAAATAAGATCTCAGTTACCTACCCCAGAAAAAAGGAACATTTCTCCTTTGAAGAAGTATGAAATGAACAGATTGACAAAGAGGAGAAGACCTAAAAAATGGAGTTTAGTGGAAGAAGACACCTTGAGGACAGGTGTAGAGAGGTATGTGATTGATTTTAGCCTCATCAATTAATAGAGTGATTTTTATTTCCAAAGATCTATTCGAACAACCATTTCCTTTCATGTACACGTTTCTTTGAAGGTATGGAAAGGGAAATTGGAAGTTCATTCTGCAGGCTTATCGTGACATATTTGAAGAGAGGACTGAGGTGAGCATTTAAGTATTTGAGTGTTGTTGGTGCATTCCATATGATAGTATTGTTTGTATAAAATTAAGATTATTTTGTTCAGGTTGACTTGAAGGACAAGTGGAGAAATATGACTGGTCCATTGGATAAAAGTCACTAGTGTATATACATTTATTTATAGGTGACCCTGTATAGCATTAGCATTTTCATTTTCATCTGTGTCAGGTTGGTGGTTGTTTATGATGCTGTCCTTCCCCCTAAAAGCCATGTGACATGGTTGTGTATTGTTAGAAATGAATTTAACTCTATGAAAACAGGAAGCCTATAAAATCATCTTTATTTTAGCATGTCCTTGATTAGTATTTTTTACAAGTTGATGAGAATACATACATTGTTGCCCCCTCCCTGTATTGGTGAAATCAAACATTTTGCTGTAATTTAATTTATTGCATTCTTGTGTTGTTTCAAAGTTGAGTGAGACATACATGAAATGAGTTAATACCCAATATAGTCCTCGACTATAGTGGTTTTACTCAATTTAGTCTTAAATGGCTTTTTGTGCTCAATTTAGTCTTCAACTTTGATGGTTTTATTAGTCCTTTGTTGCAAATTCTGCTAGTTGACTATTAGAAATATAGTCCTAATGGTAATTTCTCATCCTTCATTTCATTTGAGATGATTCATTCTTCTTCCCCTTATTAAGTTCACACAGAAATGGAGATCTTCATCTCCAAATCAATTTTCAACCCTAAATAAATAAATAAATATTTGTCTACAAATTTTTTAAATAGTTTTTTTAGTTGGATTTGGGTGCCCGGTCCTTAGAGAAGTAGCAGAGAAGTTGCAATAATGAGAAATTACTATTATGATTCTATTTTTAACAATTGACTAACATAAATTATATAAAACTATTAAAATTGAGAACTAAATTAAGCATAAAAAATCATTTAGGATTAAATTGAATAAACTCATTATAGTCGAGGACTATATTGGGTAATACATGAAACCAGCCATTCACTTGTAGAAAGAAAGAAAGAAAGACATGTTAACAGTCAAGCTTAACTTAGCTTAACAAAAATGTAGATGTAAAAACAATTAATGTGTTAAAAAAAAAAAAGATTATTAGAAAGGTAATGCATGGTGGTGTGTGGGTCCCGAATATGGTGAGTGGGGAGAATTCATCACAAAAGACGGAGTGTTAGGAGTATGCAGCCTAGGTGGTGGGGTTCTTATTGAGGTTGAAAGCATGCCACTCTGGCTAGGTCGATTATCTCTGGACCGATTTGGGCCTTTCTCGGCCCACTTGAGTTCTTGTTGCCTTACAGCGTTGGGATACCCCATGCACCACCCCATTTCTCCTGCTTTATGTATGTATCTGTCAACATTCACAAAACATTACTTATCATTATTTCTTTATTTTTTCATTTTAATATTCCAAGAGATAGATATATCTTTGTTATAAAACCTAGCTCAGAGATGCCAGCCGGCAAGGATAACAAAACAATAATTATGTTTCTTGACAAGAAGATGCAACCATTTTTTTTTTTTTTTTAAATATAAGATGTTGGAAAGGAATAATTAATATAATGACCCTGTTTGGTAAAATAGTTAATTATAAGTTAATATTGGCTTATTTGACCATTATTAGCTTTTTGATTTGGTTAAAAAATTAATATAAGTATTTGGTTAATTAACTTTTTGTAACTCTAAAATGCTAAAATTCAAAAAGTTGTTCAAAACAACTTTTTTAATTAGCTTTTTGAGAATGAAAATTATATTAAATAGTTATCAACTAACAACTAATTTACCAAACACCTTTCTACAATCAGCTAATGTTATCAACTAGTTATACCCTCTAATTAACCCAATCAGCTAACAGTTAACCGCTATCAAACAAACCGCCATTTACCAAACATGTCCAATATATAGGTAGATACCTTTGACTGAATCTTCTGCCTAAACATTCCACACACTTCCTACCTTCCGCCATATCTCCCATGCCAATCCCCACGCACTGTCTGCAGTATACTCTTCCGCAAACCTTTCATTTTCACACAATTAATAATTTCCATTATTTATTATTCATTATCATTTTGAGGGTGCAAATTATATATGGAGAAAAAAAAAAGTAGTAGCAAAACTTGATTGAATTATATATATATATAATACCAGGCAGCGGTAACGGAAAATATAGATGTAAGTAGTGCAAAGAGTGCAGATATTGGAGTGGGGAATCCCAGGGCGGCGCCGGCGTGCTTGGTTTGGAGTAGCAGCCGCCATTGTCGTCATATCATCATTATCAAGATAACCCATGCTGCGATCCACTGATACATGATGACCATAAGGGCTAGCATGATGATGATGATGTGCATGCCCATTTATCGCATGATGATGGCCATAAGGACTGCCATGGTGGCTGGCGTGCCCATAGTGAAGATGGTGATGATGAGGGTGGTCGAAATGATGAGTGATGTTACTGGTAGGATTATTATGAGTGGATGATGCAGCTTCCAAGGCTCGACTGAAATCCAGGCTAGGAAGCTTTGCCAAGGACGGCGGTTTATCGTCGGAAGTTTCAGAGGGCGGCGGCGGAGATTTTTTGTGCATTGAAAGCTGGGAGGAGAAGGCAGAAGCTTTTCTTTGGGTGATTTCTGCGAGTTCTTTAAAAGAAAGGTTGACTGAATCATCAGGAACTCCTAAGTATAAGTCTTGTAGCTCTCTTCTTGCCTTGGCCAAAGTTTCCAAATCCCCCATTCTCTATTGTTTTGTATTGTTATCCAGAGAGAGAGAGAGAGAGAGAGAGAGAGAGATGAGAGATAATACTAAAGAGTAGAATGGGTATGAGAGGTTGAGGAATTATATATGCAACTATGCAAGCAAGGGGGAGGTGGAAGGGCCAAGGGAGCGTGCAGGCCGGTCATCAACTTAATTAATTTACCTGAATTTAACCACGAACACCAATTTAATAATAATATAATAATAATCTCCCCTATACTAATATTTGGGAGTTGCCAATTGCCCCTCAAAAATGGCACCCCTTATTAACCATTGATCTCAAATCATGTGGTTGAAATTTTTTGATCTAACATTTGGATTTATTTTTGTTATCAAATGCCCTCAATTTTTAAGCGAATTACAACTTTATCATTCTATAACTCACTTTTCTTTTCTTTCTTCCTTCTAGACAAAAATTCATTTTACTCACAGGTACCCTGCACCACGCCGAGAGTTGGACATCTCTTTCCTTTTGTTGCTTCTGTTGTTCCTTTTCATTTTCGGCGCAACTTCGTTTCTTTAAAGTTGACCTCCCGAAATTATCTATTATGGCGAACTCAGATGCTTCCGTTTCTTGAAGGCCAAGGGCTTCTAGGGTTTGTTGATGGTACAACACCCTTTCCGACGGCATCGCCGGCCCTAACGTCGACCGTGGACAGTGCCCCGGCGGTGGTTTCCGATCTCCCCGCCCTGCAGCTCGCTTGGCGTCGGCAAGACAAGGCAATCATCTCCATGCTCATCTCCTCTTTGTCCAAGGAGACTCTTCGTTTCGCCGTCGGCAAGGCACCTCTCGGCAGCTTTGGCAGGTAATCGAACAAACCCTAGGTTCATCTACCCGCTCTCGTGCACTCCGACTACTCGGCGAACTTCAGGGGCTCCGTCAAGGTGATTCCTCAATATCTGATTACCTTGGTCGTGCCCAAATGTTGATTGATAAATTGGCCCTCGCCGGTCGTCATGTTGAGTTGGATGATCAGAATTTATATGTGTGAGACACATTATACTAAATTCTTAATCTATTTCTTTTCGCGGTTTACGCCGGAGTTCCGACCGTTGGTGGCAACTCTAGCCCGTGGTGCACCTGTTCGCCTCCCGGAGGTTGTAGATTTTCTTGTTTCGCAGGAGTGGATCTGTTCAGACGATGGTGTGGCTCTCGGCGCACCGGTGGCCTTGGCCGTAAGTCGTGGTGGTCACGACGGTCGCGGTGGCAGTCCGCAAAACCGAGGCGGTCGCGGTGGCAGTCTGCAAAACCGAGGCGGTGGCGGCCGTAGCAGGGGGCGCGGCGGTCGCGACCGGGGGCGGTCCAATTCGGGCCCTCGGTGTCAGATTTGCAACAAGCAAGGGCATATAGCTACGGCGTGTTGGCGTCGTTTCACTCCTGATCCGGACCCTCAGGCGAATGTTGTCGTTTATGGTGTTGATGGTTCTGTGGACGACTCTCATCAGTGGTTCCCCAGCACTGGTGCCACAAATCATGCTACCCTTGATCCCACATTATTGACGTCCTCTACTGCATATGATGGTCCAGAGACACTTCGGGTCGGCAATGGTATAGGTTTGCCTATTGTTACTATTGGTTCTGCTTCGTTAGCCACTAATTCTAGGTCGTTTCGTATGTCTGATGTTTTGCATGTTCCTGGTTTATCTTCTTCGTTATTATCTTCTCAGGGTTTTGCTAAAGAGAATAATGTCTTTTTTGAGTTTCACCCTTCGTGTTTCTTTGTGAAGGACATTCAAACCAAGAACACTCTTTTTAAGGGGCATGCGTCCGGGGGTTTATATGCCTGGCCTGCCTCGCGTCCGGCTCCCACTGCTTTCGTCGCTGCACGGTCTTCTCTCGTTTGGCATATGCGGCTTGGGCATCCACACTCTCGGGTCCTGCGTCAAGTTTTAGCATCTTCTAGTCTTAGTTCGTTTAATCCCAGTGATCTGCCAAATATTTGTTCCTCTTGTGAATTAGGCAAGTCGTCTCGTTTTCCTTTATCGCGTGTTGAATGTACTAGTTCGCATCCTTTAGAATTAATATATTCAGATATTTGGGGCCCTACGCCGATACTTTCTACAAATGGCTTTAAATATTTGGTATTATTTGTGGATGATTACACTCGTTACGTGTGGTATTATCCTATGCGAGCTAAGTCTGATTTATATGCGATATTTGATAAGTTTCGGTCGCTTGTTGAACGTTCCTTCTCTCGTAAAATCATGTCCTTTCAGTCTGATTTAGGGGGAGAATACAAAAAGCTTGGTTCGACTCTCGCGTCATTGGGTATTCGACACAGGAAGTCCTGTGCGTATACTCATGAACAAAACGGCAGAGTAGAACGCAAGCATCGCCATGTTGTCGAAACAGGACTGGCGCTAATGGCCCAATCCTCTGTTCCGTCTCGTTTATGGGATTATGCCTTCGAAACTGCTGTGTATCTTATCAATAAAATGCCCACTCGTGTCTTGTTTGATAAGTCTCCTCACTACCTCTTGCATCGGTCTCCGCCCTCTTACTCATACTTACGGGTTTTTGGGTGTCTATGTTTTCCTAATCTGCGGCCCTATAATCGCAACAAACTGCAGTTTTGGTCGTCTCCTTGTGTCTTTCTAGGATATCCCCCGTCTTTTCGTGGCTATCGTTGTTTAGACACTAACACTAACAAGGTTTTTATCTGTGGCCATGTGCGCTTCGATGAGACTGTCTTTCTTTTTGTTGCTTCTGTTGATTCACAGGTACCCGCACCATGCCCAGAGCCATGGGGTGTTGCGCCGGTTGTGCCTCTTGGTGAGCCGAGTGATGTCTCGGCCTTGGATCCTCCTGTCGTGCCCGAGCCACACCGCCAGCAGCCCGTTTCTGCCAAGCGGACAGTCACGGACCAGCCGCCTGCTCGGCCGAGGGGTCGATCCCGTCCCGCGCCCTCACCCGTCCGGTATCATACGATGAATACGCGGAGCTCGGGACCACATGGCCATGTTGCTCTATCTACTAACGTCACTACTGAGCCTACATGTTTTACTCAAGTGGTCAAATTTCCCGAATGGCGAGATGCAATGGATTTGGAATTTAATGCCTTGGTGCACAACAATACATGGCGGCTTGTTCCTTTTAAATTCGGTATGAATGTGGTTGGCTGTAAGTGGGTGTTTAGAACCAAGAGGAAAGCTGATGGTTCGATTGAGCGTTACAAGGCTCGTCTGGTTGCCAAGGGATTCAATCAGGTTGCTGGTGAGGATTTCTTTGAGACCTTTAGTCCCGTGGTTAAACCGACTACGGTACATCTTCTTTTATCCTTAGCTATTTCTCGTGGATGGACTATTCGACAGTTGGACATACACAATGCTTTTCTAAATGGCAATCTCGCTGAGACGGTTTATATGCGCCATCCCCCTGGCTATGAAGACAAAACGATGCCCGGGCACGTTTGTCTCCTTCAACGTTCTTTATATGGGCTTAAGCAAGCTCCATGTGCTTGGTTCACTCGTTTGCATGATTTTCTGGTTTCGGTTGGTTTCTCACCTTCCAAGACGGATGTCTCTTTATTTATATATTCCCATGGCAATACTCGTCTATATTTTCTGGTTTATGTGGATGATATTTTGGTTATGGGATCTGATCCGGCTCATGTGACTGCTCTTATTGACAAGTTGGCTCTTGAGTTTAAAGTTCGTATATCGGTGTGCCCTCGTTCTTTCTGGGTATTGAGACCGTTCCGTTGTCTGATGGCATGCTTCTGTCTCAACAACGGTACATGAAGGATATTCTCAAACGAGCAGGTATGATTGATTGCAAGCCCGTGGCTACTCCGGTTTCAACCACGAAGGCCGAAACTGATGCCGTGGTACCATACGCTGATCCCACACAGTATCGCAACTTTGCAGGTGCTCTACAATATCTTACGGTAACTCGGCCTGATCTTTCCTATGCAGTCAATCGTTTGTGTCAGCACATGCACTCTCCCCTACTGCGGATTGGGCGGCTCTCAAGAGGGTGCATGTTACGGTATGTAAATGGGACACTACATCTTGGTCTTAAGATTGCGTCTTCTCCTTCTCTGGATATTCATGCATATTCTGATTCGGATTGGGCTGACAATCCTGATGATCGCAAATCTACTAGTGGTTTTGCAGTATTTTTGGGGACTAATCTTATCTCATGGGTTTGTCAAAAACAGCGTACTGTGGCTCGTTCTTCAACTGAGGCTGAATACAAAGGACTGGGTGATGTCTCTGCAGAGGTTACTTGGCTCGTCTCTCTGATGAAGGAAATCGGGTTTGCGCCACCTTCTGTGCCCAAACTCTGGTGTGACAATCTGGGAGCTACTTATCTGTGTGCTAATTCGGTGTTTCATGATCGCACCAAGTACATTGAGATCGACTACCACTTTGTTCGTGATAAAGTCGCGAAGAACGAATTACAAGTCAATTTTATTTCTACCAAAGATCAGATAGCGGATATTTTTACTAAGTCTCTTTCGTCTGTGCGTTTTAATTTACTCCGTTGCAAGCTCAATGTTTTGGCTGACCAACCTTGTGCTTGAGGGGGAGTATTAGGACTCTACTAGTAGTATTAGACTAGATCTCTATTATATTAGTAGTATTAGACTAGATCTCTATTTCGTGTATTTATATACTTTGTATCCGCTGCTCTTGATCAATACACAGAAAATATATTCTCATCACTTTCCCTTCTACTTTCTTTCTTTTCTTTCCTGTTTTTGTCTCGTTTGAGGATAGCTCTACGTGACTATTACAGTGTTACCATTTCCCCCTTCATTTTTTCTTTTTAATTATTTTTTCATTTTTTTTCTTAATTATTTGTTTTCTCTCTCCAAAATTGAACCCAAACCTATACATTTATTCTTCCTCATTTCTCTTCTTCACCTCCCCCCCCCCCCACCCCCACCCCCACCCTTACCCTTACCCTTTTTTTTGTTTCCAAGTCTAAGCAAAAAATTGTCTTTTAACTCTGAGAGAGTCACTTTGTATATATTTTTAACTGCAAAAGAAACTTAAATACAGAATGCCAGAACTAGGTTACGAACCTGTAATAACATATTGGCTATGACAATGGAAAACATTATTATTAATATTATTTCTAAATAGGGAAAATCGCACTTTTGGTCCCTCAATTGTTGCCCGATCTGCAATGTGGTCCCTCACTATCAATTTCATTCAATTGGGTCCCTATTTGTTGTAAACCGTAGTCAATTTGGTCCTTCGGTCAGATTTCTCTCAAACCAAGGTTAAATCCATGGACAAAATGGTAATTTCGCTTTACCCTCTTTACCCCATCAGCAAGGTGCCAAAGGCACTCCATCTCCGACCACCGCAGACCGAGCTCTGCCAGATACAGTAACCTTGCCGGAGTAAGGTAGTATCTCCGACTTCCATTCAATCATTCGCAGAAGCTTGACCACGGATAGACCCAGTTGACCAACTGGAAAATACAGAGGAGAACTGGCACGAAGCTTGACCACCACAAAAATCCAGTTGACCAACCGGAAAAACCAGGAGGAAGAACCACCGAAGTTCCTTTATTAGAAGTGTTACCGGTCGGAAAAACCAGAAAAAAAAACAGGAAGACGGTGTACTGTTGACTATGGAAAAATTCTAAGCAAGATGCTACTCTCCGGTGAAGACCTCCGTTGACCACTCAAGAAACCCAAATGGATAAACACGAATACCCAAGGGAGAATACGCTGGAAAAGTGAACGATGGAGAAACCCAAAAAAATCAAGAACTTCGAAAGAAATTCAAGAAAACTGATTTAAAATCCCTTAGAGAAAAGTCAACCAAATTAATTTATACTAAGATAATTAGACCTGAGGGTTCGTCGATGAATCCATCACTTGGGTATTCGTGTTTAATTACACCTGAGGTTTCGTCGACGAAGATTGGGTTGCGTCTTGGACTTGATCGAACACTTCCCCTACCACTTCTAGAGGCGCGCCACCCATCTCCATGACCGCCAGATCTGTTGCTACCTCGCCGAAGATCAGCCTCTGCCCATCGCGCCAGAAAAAGGAAGAAGGGGAGAGGAGTCGCAGGAGCTGCTACTCGTTCGTCGCCGGAAGGAGAGTTTCCTTGTCTGCTCACTGCCGTAGCCACAGCTCGCCGGAGGAGCCGCTATCCCGACCTCTCGCCGTCGTCGCCACAGCTCACAAAACTCCACCATGTCGCCGCTGATCTGCTGCTTGACGTGGAGGAGAGATAGACACCGAGAGACGAGAAACAAAGGAAGAGAAGGGGCTGTTGGAGGGGACCCAGACCTCGCTAGATCTGCTTGTTGCTTGCTGCTGTAAGAAAGAATGGTGGCGTTTGCAAAAAATAAAAATAAAAAATAAAAAGAAGAAGAAGAAAGAATGGTGATAGAGAGGGTAAAGCGAAATTACCATTTTGTCCATGGATTTAACCTTGGTTTGAGAGAAATCTGACCGGAGGACCAAATTGACTACGGTTTACAACAAATAGGGACCCAATTGAATGAAATTGATAGTGAGGGACCACATTGCAGATCGGGCAACAATTGAGGGACCAAAAGTGCGATTTTCCCTTCTAAATATTATCATCGATCAGAAATTAGTTGTATGTATTTCTAACAATATTTTTATGACTTACAACTCAGCCTCTACATTCAAAATCACCTACATTTACTCAAAGAAGTTTATTCAACTTCTTGTGTCTGTTCTCATAGTTGAATCATTTCTCCTAGAAAGCACCACTGACTACATGTCAATTGAATCATCAACTTTTCTATGTCATGTGTTCTGGGTCAGACAAGTGGGAAGTGCATTAAGTTTAATACATTTTTGTATGAATACAATTAGATATTCAAATGCCACGACAATCAATAATAAAAGATTCTGAGAATGTTAACAAATTATTAGGTAGGAATTGGTTAGCATCAAAGGAGAAGCTGAGGTAGGAAATTTTGTAAAGGAGTTGGAAAATAAGAGAGAAATGTTCGTTGCTAAAAGATCTAAATTTAGAGTTGGATGATGCAACATTAAGACTAAGGAAAGTGTGCTCCTACTATTTGAAGAGAATTGAAGGTTTGGGAAAATGATGAGTTCTTCTTCCTCCATATCCCCTGCAAGCTTTAGACGAAATTGATTGTTCTCTTTTAGGCCTAAATAATTGATTGTTGTCTAATGCAATGTATATACGATATTTTGTTATTAATAATATAATAATGTACTATTAATGTTTAATTTGTTATTATCTTGTTCAGAATTATAATTATATCATGTTGATTATTAAATTTTTTGTATATTATACCATTTAAAAATAAGAAAATATTAATTTATTGTTGGGCATGACGTTTCGCGCAAAGCGCATGCCTGCGACTAGTAATAATAATAAGAGCAAATACCAATTTTGGTCCCATAAGTATTAGCAAAATGACAGTTTTGGTCCACATGTTTAGTTCCTACCAATTTTCATCATCCACGACTATTGTTTTAGTACCAATTTTCATCCACAACTATTGTTTTAGTGCCAAAACTCGTCACGCCAGTCACCCCTTCGAATTATGATCTCTATTTGAGCATGATAAAGAGATTTAAGCTCTAAGATCTATCTCAATTCGCAGTTTTCATCCTCGAATTAAGGTAGTACAAGGAGGAGAACTGTGAATAGGGATCGTCCTTAGGGCTTAAATTCATTTATTTATGCTCATATTGGAATCTTAAGTTGAAAAGGACAAAAATGCCCTTAAAATTTTTAAATTTCGGGATGTCTTAAATAGATGGGTGACCGACGTGATGAATTTTGGTACTAAAATAATAGTCATGGATTAAAATTGGTACTAAAACAATAGTCGTGGATGAAAATGGGTAAGAATTAAACATATAGACCAAAACCATCATTTTACTAATACTCGTGGTATCAAAATTGGTATTTGTTCAAATATAATCTATCTATACTATTAATAAAAACAAAAAATATCATATTCTAAACCCAAAATTTCTGGGATTCAAACATGGCTGTATTGCAAGAAACACAACTAAGATGCAGACAGTACAAGTCCGGCCATAGTAACGACAGAAGCTGGGCGGACATTTTCATTCTTCATTGCCTGCCTACCTGCCCCTATCTTATCTGCTTTCTAAATTTCCTCTAAAACCAATCATCCTTAGCTTCTATCGGATAGTTTAATGAATGGTTTTGTCCTTAGCACTAAGACACAGTCAATGTGCTGACAAATGAGTCATACAGATGGCAGGCAGAACAATATAATTAATGTTTGTTGTCAAAGACAGAACATCATGCATGTTTTGGAAACTTCAATTCTTGAGCAGAACACAACTAATTTAATGGTCACTCATAGTTTAAGTATTCCTGCAAATGTTAGTATGGCAAACAGCTAATGGAACACAAACATGGGCTGTTTGTTACATTGTATGAAGTGTGAACTATATGGGGTTGTACACAGATGCTCTATAATTTCCCTACGCAAATGATATAAAGAATATATATATGTTTTACCCTTGTGCAGGCTCATTCTCTGACTTGGTCTCCGCGGGGGTTATGTGTCTATTATTGTCTGGGTGGTTTGACTGCTTTCCTTTGGTTTCTTCGGTGGTCTGTGCGAGCAAACACTTACCCGTCGTCATTGCTAGATTGTACGTCCTAGAGGGAAGGTCAGTGTCAGCTCCCGTGTTTATGCACAGTAGTCCAGATGCCTCCTCGGGTTGCATGTCATCTTCACGGTTAGGGTGGCAGTTCAGGTCTAGCTGACCCTTGCTAGTCCCGACATCCTCCTCCATAGCATCATGGCGATCTTCCTTCTGATAGGCCTCGTTCTCTGGGTGGTTCATAGGTATTGAGGTGGGTTCATTTGCAGCAGCAGCATCTTTACGAGGAAGTTTATCTTTATCCTTCCCCTGTGCAAGTTCTAACTCACGTTCTGATTGTTTTTTCTTCTTACGCTGCATCAGTGTTTTGAACCTGCGCTTCACGGTCAGGCATACGTTGCATTTACACGTGGCTTCGTGCTTGCCCTTCCCACTGGGCGGCTGAATGCAAACGATACAACTACAGCCAGGGCGGTGCCGAGGATGCTTTGTGGTAGCTCCGGCAGAAGGCTCCCCCAACTCACTCATGCTCTCTCCCAACACTGCAACAGTCGCCAAGGCGTCTAGGCCAGAAGGCTCACCGTCGTTGCTGCTTTCAACGATTCTTCGTCTCTTGGTTTCTGGGCATGAAAATGTCGCAAATTTGACTGCAGAATTTAACACAGGAATTAGACTTCCATAATAAAAGACCAATAATATGGTTAGATATAAGTAATGAGATCGTATCTGATTCATACCCTTGCTAACTCTTAGGAATGCATCGAGTTCTTTTTGATTCATCTCATTTGGGGCAGAGCACGAGCATCTGGAATAAGCAAATGTGTATATAGTGAGTCAATGAAGTTAACTCCCTCTCTCATTCTTCTCACTAACTTTTCATGTGGGTATTAGTGTATTCCAAAGTCTAAGTCCTCGTACCAATATCATAAACGAGAAAAACAAAAAAATCTCCCGGACAGCAGAACGCCCACTGGACTACCGCTGCTCCACTTTGTCACTAAGGTAGGAAGTTGTCCTAGGTTTTTTACTTAATTGATACTCCGTAAATCTTTTCACCACAATACCATATATAACCACTCCAATCTTTCCCGCAAAAGGTGATATTCCCTCATCCCTAGGGCCCACCATACCCCGGCCCGACAGGATACAGGATAGTGTTGCAAAATTCGCGCCTAGGCGCTCTAGGCGTTCTAGGTGCCCGCCTAGGCACCCTAGGTGGTCCCCAGGCGCCTAGCGATTTTTTCAACATTGATACAGGATAGTGGGGGGTAAATCACGTTGACACAACGGCCCATTAGGTGGAAGGACCAGTGCTTGGGGCCCACAAGGAACCCACTACATTGGGTGAAACTCCCACACTACTACTGCAAAGGCTCGATCCTGTGTCTTTGTCCACAATCTACCACCCGGGAACCAACTGAGCTGCCCGTGTAGGCAAACCACACCAATCTTTTCACCTATTTGATGCTAGCAAATAAAATCTATATAACAAAGCCTCAACCTATTCCTCAAGATTTTGGGTGGAAAGGTATGTACTAATGTACCTGTTTGAGTCCCAAACATTATCCGAGCATGTCCAGTTTGCTGGAAGGAGAACGTGCACAGGCAACCTACGCCATTTGGAGCAATTGTCACATTGAGCCCATTGTTCGTGCTCTCTACAAAACGGGGGGTGAATTTCAAATAAAAACGGGTAAATAAAGAGACATACATCCCAAGAAGCAAAACAGGCTGAAGATAGTAGCTAGTAAGGCAAAATAAACGGGACTACGTTAGAAAGCTCTAAATAAAAGGATGTAGTAACTAGTAAGACAACAAAACAAAACAGCTACAGAGGGATCACAAAGGCATCTTCCATTGCCATTAACCTTTTAAAAACTCAAAATTAACCTCTTTAATTTATATGAGTTGAAATAGAAATTTTATACATTACATGCATACTTGAATAGTTGAATCAAAATTTTCCTTACCCAGATGATCGAGAGGTGAAGATTGTCCTCTTTCCAAAAACCGGTGGTTCCTAGATAACAGAAATAGGATTATGTTCTTCCGTCCATTAGTGCATACAATCTTATACGGGGTATAAATACAAGAAACATGCAAAAACACCCTGTTAGCTTACTGAATAAAGTTAGGACTTACATCATATTCTTCAAATTCATGGTTCTCAATCACAACTATAGTTGGATTCACAGTTGGAGGTGGACGGAGCAACTCCTGTGCTTCTTCCCAAGTGATCCTCAGCTCCATAGCATCTTCGGAGTGCATCAGGAGCCTTTTATTTTTGCACCCTATGTTCCGAACTTTCTTCTTCTCTGGAGAAAGCACATTTCTTTGCAATGGCTTGTCAGTTTCTCGGCCTCCATTCTTCTCGATCATGTTTGGGCATCCAAAAGCATTCCAGTTAGATTAAAAAGAAAAGGAAATAAATGAAAAGACGAGGGACTGGTACAAGATCACGTACAGTATGGTTGTCGGTGGCACCAGAAAGCGGAATTTCTGTAGAACAGCCACCATTGGCAGGTGTTGAATTTTGAGAAACCTGTTCGTGATAGTAAATTTACTAAGACACTATAAAGCAAAAAATAAAATAAAATAAGCGAGTTTGAAGCTCTACCTGCATTTCAGCATTATTAGTTGCTTTTCGGAAGCCCATAACTAGTTTCCCCTCAGGATCTATTCGACTGAAAGTAACTTTTGGAACAATGAAGAATACAGTTCAGATTGAGAAATTAAATAGATAGTAACAGTAAACTAATGCAAAATAGAGGAACGATCAAAGTTTTATTCAATAAAAGATTACACTAAGTGGGGTTAACCCAAGCCAAGATGGCAAGAGATCCACCCTTGTAACCACAAGGTAACGAGTTCAAATCCTTGCCCCCTTGGTTTGAGCCGGTCAGCTATGGGTAACCTAGTCTAGTTTACTTCCTTGTGGTCTTTTGCTTACTAGGGTCAAAAGGCGGGGTTTACCTACACCCAAAAGGGTTGTGGGGTTTCCCTCGTCATCCAAAAAGATTACACTAAAAAGTCATTAATAACAAAAACATGGTTTATCAACTAATGACTAATATGTATTTATGGTTTCAATTTGTTAGTTCTTGCGGTTTAATAATTTATTAGTTTTCACAATAGGGCATTTAAATTTATTTCTGGATGTATTTCTTGAATAATAATAATAAATGAGTGACTAATTTGATAGTATTTTTATCCAAATACCCTCCACGTACAGTTAAGGTTTGTAACAGAAGTTAACAGCTGGGGACCGAATTTGCTACCTTTTGGTGTAACTTACGAAATCACTCATGGATAATTCCCTTCACATCAAACCTTACAATTAAGGATTAATTTGACCATCTGCATATAGCTTAGGGACCGATCCAAAAATACATTTCCCCCAAATTTGAAACTTAGGCCGTACATAATGGATGCAATTTCATTACCGTAATATTAATGATCACAGGAAAACTCACGAAAATAATAACCACCCATACATAAAAAAAATACAATAAAAAGATATATTCCACCAATGACATTTGATTATATATGATATTCAAAACTAAAGGCAGGGGATACCTGTATCACCGGCTTGCAATTGCATATTTTGTATACAGGGGGTAACACCCTCCAGAACGTACATCCTGCTGTTGTTATTGGGCCAAAATCTAAACTGAAACGTCCACTCTTTCCCTTTTATATCCTGCATCCTTATTGGTATTCCTTCAGAATGGTTAATATAAGGAAAGTACGCCTGCAAAATAACAAACCACATTATTAAGTCCTTGGACAGTGATAAAAGATTATAATAAACACTTATTGTTGTGTATGCCACAAATTATAATTCTACAGAATAAAAACTTACTTCGGCGCACGCCTTGGGGAGGACTAGGCGACCAATCCGGCCAGCATCGCTAGCACTCAGAACCTTTTCGAATAATGGCACAATAGTGGATTTCAAGCTTAAAGTAACAGTAAAGGTAACAACACACAGTGGACTGGGGAAAAAGAACGGGAAGAAATCATTCATGCATTATATTATTATGGTATATATACTGAATGGATACTCTCCAGACAATTTCTGCAGTTCTTGGTCTGTAATCCTAGGCCAATATCGAGGCAATAACTGATTCCGGCCGCCACGCCCTTCGGCGGGAGGCCTTGCAACACGTGTTGGTGTAGATATTCCGCTTTTTGATTCAAACCCTGAATTCGAGCCAGCTTTGGGTGGCTTGGGCAAAATATGGTGTGGCTTCTGCCCTTGTTGAAATGGAGACACCTTGCCAACCCCAGAAGGAAAAGGTAATCCCGAGCTTGAAGTACTGATGGGAGTGCTCAAAGAGAAATTTAGAGATGGCTGATTAAAACTGTCGGGTGCATCTTTGACAGCCTGTTTTGGTATGCAATTTTCTGCTTTTTCAAGTACAGAAGTTCTGAGAGATTGTTGATTAAGATTCGGGAAGCATGACATGACTTCCACGGCAGGAATGATTGGTTCTTCTCTTTTAATTTTGTCATCATTTCGAGATTTAAAAAGTTGGATAGGCTCACGGGCCTCTACACTCTTGCCTAATTGCAGAAGCCTTCCCTTTTCTAAAATATTCTCATCCATTCTATTTTCAACACGGATGGTCTGTGTATCATCCTTGTTCTTCATGGCCAAGATGCCACTAGGCACATCATCATTAGGTATCTGCACGACACGAACAGTTATCAGATGGTAAATTAAAAAAATACATTGGCCCTGGTTGGTAAATGGTTGTTAGCTGATAGCTGTTAGCTGATTGGGTTAATTAGAGGGTATAACTAGTTGATAACATTAGCTGATTGTTATGCATTTCAACGCTGATAACATTAGTTGATAACACAAAATTCATAAATCCTCTAATATTATGCATTTCAACGCTGTTTTTAACCATCATTGTAGCATATTACCTGTATTGGTCTCAAAGCTTGACCCCCCAATATCCTTGCACAGCTTAAACATACTATTCCTCCAAGATCCATATATTCAAACAGATATTTTGATGCAATGCACCCGCAGTGAATACGCTGTCATATAATATTTAGTTAGACCCAGAAAGGAACGATTAACTTCTACAAAATTTAGACACGTCATACTTGCCTTTCTACACATTCTGCACTCCTTCCAACCAGACTCATCCAGGTGGAACGTTTCACAAAAAGCTACCTTTTCGTAAGCAGATCTACATCACACACGACACCAAAACGCATGATTTAGCCATAACAATTACAGAATAAGGTATCAGTTGAACCAGCAACTTTAGGGTACCAAAATAATAGTAGCATCCTATCAGCATCCAAGAAAATAAGCAAAAAGTAAAATCGAGGAAACTGTGATAGTTCAACGAAAAGTGGTAGGAATATGAATATATTATATATCCCCTGGCTTCCCAAAAACAATTTATTAAGATGAACATTTGAGGGAATGTAAACATAGCATAACAAAATATTAGGTCTAATAACTGAAGACCAAGGTGACCTTAGTGTTATTAACACCTCCTATAGTTTAGGAAAGAAAAGCTCAGCCTTTTAAATTCTCCCCATATTCACTATCCCCAAATGAGGCTATTTTTAAGGAAGAAGCAGCATTCATGTAACCATTATATCCAAACATGATTTAAATTTTGTGTTCCTACTTTCAGGGGAGTAAAATGCTCAAAATGTGACACACCAGAAAAATCCAAAATGTAGAAAACAATTCAAATATGCAAAAAAAAAAAAAAAAAAAAAAAAAAAAAAAAAAAAAAAAAAAAAAAAAAAAAAATGAAGAAGATTCCTATGCATACAACAAGCCCCTTTGATGAGCTACTTCAGGGATTCAAAATCCCCAGTCCCAAATCAATCCAAATACAATTGAAATATAGGAAGGGGGAGGGAGTAGAGAGAGAGAGAGATGTATATATATATATATATATATATATATATATTGATTACCCGCAGCTGTAACAAAGGATAGCAAATCCACCTGATTTCAAGCCCCAACCTTTTTTCCATTCAGACGACGTCGTCGAGCAGCAGAGCTCGTTCATGCAAACATTTGACCCCATTCTCCCAAAAATCAAACCTTTGAACCCAAAAGGGCCTCCGTCAACACTCCAACAACACAAATTTCCCAGATCAATCAAAAACCCTAACCATCCGGATCAGAAAAAAAAAATTCAAACCCAAACACAGCATTAAACACTATAATGCAAACAATACTGAATATTAAGAATATCACACAGCTCACCTTGCTCAAACTATCGAATGTAACGTACACATGGACCGCAAGCAAGCCTCACAAAGAATCAACCCTTTTGCTATCGCATAAGTTAAATCTGAAGGGTCAAAGGCAGTTAAACGGTGAAAACGGCGGTGGCCGTCGGCGGGGCTTGTTTTTGTATAGTGGATAATATATCCAGATGAGAATTGCTTTATATATATATATTTATTTATTTAGAGAGAGAAACAGATAGTATATGTAGAGAGAGAGAAGCTATGCATGCAAAACAGAGAAGAGAGAAGGAGTTGAAGAGAGAGAGAGAGATGCACAAGATGCATGCACGACACTTGAATCCGCAGCGAAGTCGTCTGTCTCATTCGATTTTTTCCACGCTACTCAAAATTACTGTGAATATTTTAACCATTTTCGTAATATTATTTTTTACTTTTTCTTTTCTTCCACTTTATTATTAAATCGGATTCGTAGATTCAGATCCCATGTTCGTACTTCGTAGTTCGTACGACGTCAAAATTTGTAAATAAAATTCTTTTTTAAAAAAATATTTTTTCAAAAAAAAAAATAATAAAATTACTGTGGGGTAAATCATTAGTCAACAATCAACGTAGACTTTAACCACTTTGACTGAGGGAGACTTACGTGCGCTACGGTCACTCGTACAAAAAGTACTACCCACTGGAGGTACCCTAGAAACTACTATTTAAATTTTTTTGAAAACTTTTCCATTTCGTCCGTAATTCATAAAGTAATTATAAGATCAGATAGAGAAAGCATAGAATAAATATTACCTTATAATAAAGTTAATAGTTCTCAAAAAAATTTCATAGAAAATACTATTGTATATTTAATTTTTTAATTATTTAATCACATTTAATATCGCAATTTTACTAAAATTGTCATGTTTTGTTCTATGTTAGAAATTTTGTTAAATTAATGATAATTTCAAGAGAAATTTAACGATTTACAACTTTATTATTCTTTTATGGCAAAAATATATTGAACAGATACTCTTTTGTAATATAGTCGATAGTATTAAAAAAATTACTTCATAATTAGTAAAGTTACGTTATTGACTTAGTAACAATAAACTTTACAAGTTGTCTCCCACTGAAAATATCTACTGGTCTTCTTAGTTTGAGCCGGTTAATTTGCCAACTAGAGTCACAAGGCGAAGATTTCAACCAAAAAAAAAAAAATAGTCACAAGGCGAAGATAGGATTTACGCAATGCACACACTCGAATAATAGCTGTGAATTTCCCTCATCATTACAAATAATAATGAGAGCAATTTATCTCTTCTTAAAAATAATAATAATAAGTATACTTCTTCTATTAATTTCAACTTTATAAAATATATAATAATACCGTTACATGTGGTACCAAAACTTCTTTTAAAATCTTCTTTAATTTCATAGATTCACCCCAAAATCTAATAGTGTTATGTGAAATTAAATTTTGAAAATACTAAAATATATATTGAAATACATAATAATATCAGTTTTGAAAGTTACCACTATAAATTTATTAGTCATCAGCAAGAATCAAACAAGTAATTATCACATGCGCCTTTGAAATTCATGTGAAATACATATTTCAAATCATGTATAATTTAATAATAACGTTATATTTAATAGAATAATGAGATTATAACAGTTATAATGGTATAGTTATGAAATTAGAGCAATTAGATGAATTTTTTTTTTTGAAAGCTACTAACTCTATTACATTGTAGTATTTTTATCTATACTTTCTCAACATATTAAAACACAAAGAGTCAACATCGCCTTCACTGAGACTCAATCTCATGACCGGCCTCTCATATAGAAAAATCACTAGATACAATATGAGCACAAATTAAAAATAACAAAAGAAAAAATATGAAGAGACAAAAATGCCCTTACTAAAAATAAGAAAAGTCATTAGAAGGACTAAAAGTGTCCAAAAAAATAATAGTATGGGATGTTAAATGGCAAAAACGATAAGTTGGGACTAAATATCAAATTATCACCAAAGACAAAGATCTCGGGTGGAATTAACATAAGTCTATATTAAAATTACATTATTCGTGTACTGAATGTACATTATACAAAATAATATACTTTCAATATTCAAATAATATATTTTTTTTTAATATACTAAAAATATATTATTTATATATTAGATATACATTATTTGATAGTATCGTTCATTAAGGGACACAATAATGATTGACAGTGCACCGTGATATGCATTGGGTGTTATCCCTCACTCCACGTCAGGTTAGCCCACAAAAGGGTTTACTAGTTTGCTTATTAGGCTAAACGAAGTTGTCGCATAATAAAGTCGGTGCATGCGGAAATATATGTTTGAGTTGTATTTATATGTTTAATTTTCCCGTATTTAGTATTGGTTGGTAATTGATAGTGATGGTTTTAATTTTTTTTTTTTTTTTTTGAGTTCTATTGGCTATATTACAATGCTGTTCATAATTATTTTCTCAACCTATTGAAACATAAAGAGTCAATACACTTTCACTGAGGCTCAAATCCACAATCTCCCACATAAGGGAGTAACTTGGTACCATTAGACTACAAAGCTCTTGGTGATGGCTTTAATTATATTGCTATGAATTATGAACTCACCACATGATTGTCATTTACTTCATGCTCAAAATTTAAAGAGAAGTACGATATGATGGTGAAGTAACTATTTGTGTATGTGTTTCAGTGCGAGCAGTGCTTCTCGTGCAGTCATGGAACTTTATGTTTATAATTTTTTAACTCTATATTCACAATTATAATAGTTTTGAAACAGTATCTATCTTGCAAGGGGATACGATTCCACCGCATAATTTGCCATTATAATATGCTCGGTCTAACTAAATGAATATTGATACTAGATGTCAATACTTGTCCATTCAATTTTCAATAATTGTCACTTTTTATAACTATAATTGCATTACATTAATCAAAAGAGGCCATGTCAATTGGGCCGGGAAAACATATATACCTAACGTGGTCTATTTTTTTCATCAAATAAAGGGCAAATTATATCCAGCACCAGGGCGCACAATGCATTTGGTGTCTTGACCCAAAATGACTTCGCTTTGTATTTTTAAATTAACGAGAAATTCCATTTCTTGTTTTTACGGTGAATTTCTCTAAAAAATAAAAATTCAATGTTTCGTATGTACAAAATTGTATAGTAAATACACATAAACTCCTAACATAATACACATAATCTAACATAATACATAATACACATAAACTCTTAACATAATATACATAAACGCTTAACATAATACACATGAATACAAGCGTAACGAGATTGGACAGACGGAACGGTGTCCGTCGCGTCAACTCCCACCAACTTATAAAAACGTCGTCGATTTGGGCCCGAGCGCACAATGCATTGTGAGCCCTGGTGTACGATATAACAATTGCAAATGAAGGGCCTCCCTTAATATTGGCAATTTATACCGTGGATCAGGGTCCACAGTGCATTGTGAACCCTAATACAATACACAAAATTTGACTTCATAATTAGGGGTGTTCAATCGGTTAACCGAACCGTTTTAACCTAACCGAATTAACCAATTTTTTTTTCTTTAACCGTTAACCAAACCGAAGTTTGCTCTACCGAATTCACCGAACAGAAATTTTTTTCGGTTAACCGATTAACCGAACTTTTTAATGCAAAAATTTAAAATTTTAAAAATAACACCTAAAATAATAAATTCAATTAAAATAAAAATATATATCATAATAAATTCATAATAACATATAAAAAACATGAATTATAAACTCCAAACATCCATAACTTCAAATTAGTATTTATATTCATATTATTATTTATATATATATATTAAAAACTTCGGTTAACCATTCGGTTAATTCAGTTAACCGACCTTTCGAACCGAATTAACCATTAACCGAAATTTTAAAATTCATTTAACCATTAAGCGAACCGAAAAAGTTCGGTTCGAAAACGGTTAACCGAACTTTGTCGGTTCAGTCGGTTAACTGAAAATTATCTGAAATTTGCACACCCCTATTCATAATGTACAGAATTCATGTTAATAATACACATACACATAAACACGATATAATGAAGACACATATGTTGGTCCAAAAGAGGTAAAGTAAAAGTCTAGAAGGAGGGGGGGGGGGGGGGGGGTGAATAGACTTTCAAACCGTTTTCGCAAATACAACATTTGCAAAGGCAACAGAGAAACCAAAACTCTTAACTAGATTGTTAGAGTCTTGTGCACAGCGGAATAAATAAATAAGTGTTGTGTGATTGTGTCAAGTATATCCACATGATAAGCGAGCAAAAAGCAATAAGTAAAATAAAGCAGTAAATGACACAAGGCAATTATAGTGGTTCAAAGGTGATGTAATCCTCCTACTCCACTTGCTCCTATCTCCAAGAGAAATTCATGTTTATAATGCACATAATTCATGTTCATTATATTGTGTTTATGTGTGTGTATTAAGAGAATGATTTTTTTTTTTTTTGAAAATAACACACACATGTATTTGCATTGATACTATATCAAAATAAATTATGTGTTCTTCTTTAAATGACGAGAGAAATCCACAGCCAGTAGGGGTGTTTAATCAGTTAACCGATTTTTTTTTCTTTAACCGTTAACCGAACCGAAGTTTGTTCTACCGAATTCACCGAACCGAAAAATTTTTCGATTAATCGGTCAGTTAACCGATTAACCAAACTTTTTAAAGCTAAAATTTAATTCTAAAAATAACACATAAAATAATAAATCCAATTAAAATAAAATACATATCATAATAAATCTATAATGAAATATACAAAAACATTAATTATAAACTCCAAATATCCATAACTTCAAATTAGTATTTATATTTATATTAATATTATTATTATTATTATTATTATTATTATTATTATTATTATTATTATTATTATTATTATTATTATTATTATTATTATTATTATATATATATATATATATATATATATATATATATATATATATATATTAAAAACTTCGGTTAACCGTTCGGTTAATTTGGTTAACCGACCTTTCGAACCGAATTAACCGTTAACCGAAGTTTTTAAATTCCTTTAACCATTAACCGAACCGAAAAAGTTCAGTTCGAAAACGGTTAACCGAACTTTGTCCGTTCGGTCGGTTAACCGAAAATTATCCGAAATTTGCACACCCCTAACAGCCAGTACCTAAGAGTGCGCACGGAGTAAACATCACTACTATGTAATAGACTAATAGCCGACGATCTATATTAACTAAAAGTTAAACCTAT